AGTGAAATAGCGAAATTGACAAATTCCTTGTTGAATTGCTCTCCAACACTGTTCTGTGTACTCTTATAAATTATGAATGTTAACAAACCAAATGCACTATGTTTTTCTTCTTTTTTTAGTCTCTTTTTTAATGTACTCATCGTTTGCTTCAGGTTAGTTACCTGCATTGATTTTTATACACTTTTTCTGAAAGTGCATTGTAATCACATTTCGAACACTTAATTTTTAGGCAATATGATCAGATTAGCTGGAACCAATGAGTTGTGTTCTGGAAGAATTGAAATATACCACAATGGTGTCTGGGGAACAGTCTGTGATAATGGCTGGGACTTAATTGATGCTAAGGTGGCCTGCAGACAGCTAGGCTGTGGTCCTGCTTTGGGGGCTCCTCAGTCTGCCCACTTTGGCCAAGGGACTGGACAAATCTGGCTGGACAATCTGGCATGCTCAGGAAATGAACCTTCTTTAGCCTTTTGTGGACACAGTGGATTTGGGATCGAAAACTGTGGACACCACCAAGATGCTAGTGTCATCTGTTCAAGTAAGAAAATTGTGTTTTTTTTTTGGATAAATTACATAATTATTTTTCTCGATATTAGCATAGAGCTTTATATTGTAAAAGACAGTAATGAATTTGAATAATTAAGAATTGAGCATATTTGAAAAAAATTTGCTTGTGCCAATAAGAAATAAACTGAGAATATCCATCCATCCATCCATCCATCCATCCATCCATCCATCCATCCATCCATCCATCCATCCATCCATCCATCCATCCATCCATCCATCCATCCATCCATCCATCCATCCATCCATCCATCCATCCATCCATCCACTCTTTCGGCAAAAAGTAGAGTATAAGCTGGTAAGGTTGCCAGTCAATCTTGGGGCAAACGGAGTGCAGACATTTGTGAATTATATATATATATATATTAATACTTATGTTTTCCTTTATTTTTCATGGAAATTTACAGATTCAATTAGATTAGCTGGAACCAATGAGTTGTGTTCTGGAAGAGTTGAAATATACCACAATGGTGTCTGGGGAACAGTCTGTGATGATGGCTGGGACCTAAGTGATGCTGAGGTGGCCTGCAGACAGCTAGGCTGTGGTCCTGCTTTGGGGGCTCCTCAGTCTGCCCACTTTGGCCAAGGAACTGGACAAATCTGGCTGGACAATCTGGCATGCTCAGGAAATGAACCTTCTCTAGCCATTTGTGGGCATAATGGATTTGGGATCGAAAACTGTGGACACCAAGAAGATGCTAGTGTCATCTGTTCAAGTAAGAAAATTGACTTTAATTTAATATATTACATAATTATTTGTCTTGATATTAGCATAGACTTTTATATTGTAAAAAACACTAATGGATTTGAATAATTAAGAATTTAGGATTTTTTGAAGAAAATCCGTGCAGATTTGAATAGGTCCAATAAGGTTTGTGAAACATAAAAAAAATAAACTGAACTGAGTTAATTCCATGGGTGCCCAGTAGTAGACTGAGAACATCCATCCATCCATCCATCCATCCATCCATCCATCCATCCATCCATCCATCCATCCATCCATCCATCCATCCATCCATCCATCCATCCATCCATCCATCCATCCATCCATCCATCCATCCATCCATCCATTAATTCATTCTATGTGCAAAAGGCAGTGCATAACCTGGTATGGTTGAAAGTTCATCGCACCCCAGACCGAGAGCAAACATTTATAAGTTATGTATGGATACATACTTATGTTTTCCTTTATTTTTTATTGAAATATACAGATTCAATCAGATTAGCTGGAACCAATGAGTTGTGTTCTGGAAGAATTGAAATATACCACAATGGTGTCTGGGGAACAGTCTGTGATGATGGCTGGGACTTAATTGATGCTGATGTGGCCTGCAGACAGCTAGGCTGTGGTCCTGCTTTGGGGGCTCCTCAGTCTGCCCACTTTGGCCAAGGGACTGGACAAATCTGGCTGGACGATCTGGTATGCTCGGGAAATGAACCTTCTTTAGCCATTTGTGGGCACAGTGGATTTGGGATCGAAAACTGTGGACACCACCAAGATGCTAGTGTCATCTGTTCAAGTAAGACTGTGTTTATTTTTTTAACTTTCATGATTATTTTTCTTGATGTTAGCATAGACTGTTATATTTTAGAAGATAGGGATAGATTTGAATTGAAGAATTGAGGATGGTTGAAGTCCCAGTAAGGTTTGTGAAACAAAAAAAGATATAAAAACCTGAATTTAGTTAATTCCATGCGTTACTGTCAGAAGTAGACTGAGAACATCCATCCATCCATCCATCCATCCATCCATCCATCCATCCATCCATCCATCCATCCATCCATCCATCCATCCATCCATCCATCCATCCATCCATCCATCCATCCATCCATCCATCCATCCAGTCTATTGGCAAAAGCCAGTGTATAACCTGTTAGGGTTGCCAGTCCATTGCAGGGTAGACTGAGAACAAACATTTGTAAATTATCTATATATAAATACAAATGTTTCCCTTCAATTTTCATGGAAATATGCAGATTCAATCAGATTAGCTGGATCCAATGAGTTGTGTTCTGGAAGAATTGAAATATACCACAATAGTGTCTGGGGAACAGTCTGTGATGATGGCTGGGACTTAATTGATGCTGAGGTGGCCTGCAGACAGCTAGGCTGTGGTCCTGCTTTGGGGGCTCCTCGGTCTGCCCACTTTGGCCAAGGGACTGGACAAATCTGGCTGGACGATCTGGTATGCTCGGGAAATGAACCTTCTTTAGCCATTTGTGGGCACAGTGGATTTGGGATCGAAAACTGTGGACACCACGAAGATGCTAGTGTCATCTGTTCAAGTAAGACTATGTTTATTTTTTTAACTTTCATAATTATTTTTCTTGATGTTAGCATAGACTGTTATATTGTAGAAGATAGGAATAGATTTGAATTGAAGAATTGAGGATGGTTGAAGTCCCAGTAAGGTTTGTGAAACAAAAAAAGATATAAAAACCTGAATTTAGTTAATTCACCAAGAAGATGCTAGTGCCATCTGTTCAAGTAAGAATGTGTTGTTTATTTTCATAACTTACAGAAATATTTGTCTTGATTTTTAGCAAAGAACAGAACCTAAGCTCTTCAAGAATTAAACTAATTTTCTGATTACTTTAATAACAGGCAGGAAAGGACAGTTTCCTCTCTTTCTCCAGCAGTGAAACCTGACATCAATGAATTGTGATTTATCTGCTTGATGTTTGTGCATAAAATTAATTACTGACTATGCCCAAAAAGGCATGCTCAAAAATCTATACTTCTTGAATTAAACATGAATCTAATTGTATCGAACAAATTATTAGTATTTCCCCTCCAACGACTACATCTCTTACATTAGAAGGAGATACTGTTTTTAACATATTTCTCATGTCAGGTTCCAGCTGAAACGTGCAACAGACCCACAATAAATGTATCAAATCCTGCTACTGATCACAGTTGTTTCATTAAGTTACATGCAGGATTAACTTGATTTAGGATATCAAGCTTTCTGAAACAAAAATTCCTGGATATGCAGGGATATACCCCAGAAATTATTCTCACAAATCTTTCTCTCTGACATGGGTCACAGAGCTTGTTCAGAAAAACCAAATTTGGACACCCAACTCTGACTGACCTAAGCACGACACATTGTGGAGCGCTATTGGTGGGCTGTGTGTGGGCTGTGTGTACATCAACAATCACCAGCTTCTGCTCTCAAAAGCTCATCGATCTTTTGACTGTTAACTGCAGAACTTTGTACCTGCCTAGGGACTTTACTGTTGTTAGTACCACTGCTGTGTATGTGCCTTCCAGCACTAATAGAGGCCATGGGTGTTCTCTATCGGACTCTAAGCTTCAATCTGCACACACAAAGGGCTTTTTTAATCATTGCTCGAGATTTTAATCAGGCCAATTTGAAGACTGTTCTCCCTCATTTCAAACAACATGTGAATTGTGCAACTCTTGAGCCGGAACACTATAGACATGGTTTACACTAACAGAAAAAATGCTTTCAGAGCAGCCCCCCACCCCCACCTTGGATCTTCCGGCCAGCCATCTATTATACTAACTGCATACAAACCCCTGCTGATCAGAGCAAAACCCACAGTGAAGCAGGTGAGGGTGTGGACTGAGGGGGCCATAGAGGCACACAGGACAGTTTCAAATGCTCTGACTGAAACGTGTTCAGAGCTGCAGCAACATATGTCAACAAGATCAAAACTGATGAGCATGCCATGACTGTTTCAGCCTACATCAACAATTTCATTGAGAATGTCAGCAACAGAAAAGAACATTAACACCAGGGCCAACCAATGAACCTGGATGACAGGGGAGGTTCAGAAATGGGTAAAATGACGAAAATCAGCCTTCAAGTCTGGTGACAAAGAGGCACTGAGGACAACAAGGGCCAACTTGAACTTTGCCATCAGGTTAGCAAACCACAGCCACAGTCAGAAAATCCAGAATATTTGCCATGACAAGCTGCACACCAGGAGCATGTGTCAAGGCATACGGGCGATAACAGAACACAACTATCCCTCCACCCCAGTGGGTGTAGCTGATGCTGACTTCCTAAATGGACTAAACACTTTCTTTGGAAGGTTTGAGGCACTAAACAGTTAAACCTGTTTCCCATCCAAAAGAGAAGGCACTCTCTTCCAAGCTGATGTGTAGGTTGAGTTTCTTCAGTCTTCCACGCTGACTTGTGGAGGACTGAAGAAACTCATCCCAAGAAAGGCCCCAAGCCCTGACAACAACATACCTTGGCGGGTGTTGAAGGAGTGTGCAGGTCAGTTGGCTGGTGTCCTCACAGACATTTTTAACACTTCGCTGCACCAAGCATTAGTGCCAGCCTCAAATAAGCCTCAAGTCACCTCACTTAATGACTATCGGCCTGTTGCACTGACTCCCATCATAATAAATGCTTTGAAAGGCTGGTAAAAGAACACATCATCTCCATTCTCCCCCCAAGATTTGACCCATTCCAGTTTGCTAACCGATGGAACCGCTCCACCAAGGACGTCATCTCCTCTTCTCCTCACCTGAGTCTGGCACACCTGGAGGAGAAGAACACCCATGTGTCGATGCTGTTTCCACAGTTAGATATGAAGAGACCTTTCAATATCTGGTCACTTATATGACGACCTTAAATTGCCAAAGCAGATCACTTTAATCTACATTGAAGTGGGAAGCCTGCTGTGTTGGGGTTGTGGAGTAAAAATGAACACTGAGAGTTGATATGCAAGGAAGAAAGGTTTTATTTTCCTCTGCAGATGAGAACTACACGAGACAGCTGCGTACAGCTCCCAGTGTAGCTCTGACTAGGTCGCTGCCCACCCTTGCAATATAAAGACTTCTTACACATTAACATTGAGTCTTCCCAACAGAAACACCTCATCAAAGGACATAAATTTGTTCAGATAAACATTTCAGAAAACTGTTTCCCGTTCACACCAGAGACAGGACGTGAGGATCTTAAACACAATAAGGACGTGTTTATCTATGTTTCCCCCCTATCTAACCTAGGGAGGAAACTCATTTTCAAACCCTCCATCCTTTACCTATATCTCAGCACAAAGAATGGAACAAAGCCTGTAAACAATCACCCTATTCAGGAGAAAAACGGCACACTTTAATATTTAACCTTACTAACATCCAAGGGAAAAAAACACAAACCATATGGTCATCTTACAATGCTTCTATTCATACATTAATTAAGTTGTTTAATAAATCATTAATTCTAAATGAAAATAAGTTAATTGATTAAAATTTTTGAGAACAGTATGAAAGCCTTTGACCAGAAGGTATGTCTTTGCTTTGTCTTCAGTGATCTGTTTTGAAACTGATCTCTCAGTGACATTGTTACTTATGCAACCATTTACAAGAAGGACCATGGAAGAGAAAATTCGGGTTAAGGAGTTGGGAGCAAACAAGCCTGACCCTAACATCAACCAGCAGACTGAAATAAAAAATAAAGTCTAAAATCAGAGTTTTTGCAGGAGTTGATTTGAGCGGAAGTCATGGTTGACAGGCTGCGGAATGACTAATGCACGTTTCTGTTTCCCTTGTATTTGTCATGATTGGTTCTCAAGGAGGACCCCAATTATGCAGAACACCACTGAGGCGGAAACAGGAGTAAAGGGTAAACAGAGTTTATTAAGCACAACACAGAGAAAGCACTGATGACTGGTTCGGGCCTGGGTTCTGGTTTCACCGGAGTCTGCGTGAGAGACAGAGCAGTTATGGACTGCTGACAGGATTTGATTTCCTAGTGAGCTCTGATTGTACCTTGAGGGTACTTGAGGTTCCCTTTGGGAGAGTCACTGTTGGTTCTGGAGAAGAGTTTATCAGCAGAGTCCGTTTGCTGCTTCAGCGTCTCACGTCTAGCTTGAACAGACCTTGGCTTTGTTTTCCCAGCTCTAGTCCAGAGCTGCTTGGAGGTTCTCAGAGAATCTTCAGGGTTTGGCTCAGAGGGTCGGCTCGGCAGGTTAGCTCTTCCTGAGCTTTCACAGAGGAGACACGGGTTTTCTGGAAACACAGAGAGAGTGGTTAGAATCCAACCTGGATTCAAAGTCATAGAGGTAACACAAAGATCTAGGCTTTAGTGCTGACCAACTGGAACAACACTGCGGCCTTGAGGCAAGGTCTGAAGACAGCTTATATAGTGGATCCTCTGATGATGGTAATGAGCAGCAGCTGTGCAGGAGGCTCTGCTCAGGAGGATCCACGGCGGACTCTGCTGGAGAAAGATGGTACTACTCCAGCTCCCAACAGTACCCCCCCCTCAAGGGCGGATTCCAGACGCTTCAGACAAGACCTAGGGAAACAAAGGAACAACAAAAAACAACCCACCAAGGGTGGGCGCAGGGGGCACCATACTAGGTAGGCCAGAAGTAGAGTCCATAACAAAAAAAACCAATCCACCCAGGGTGGACGGAGGGGAAAAGAAAAAGGAAAAAACAAAACTGAGTCCCAGAACAAAAAAACAATCCACAAAAGGTGGACGTCAACAAAGAAAGTCTCTGATATTGTACCGGGAGACACCCGGTTGCAGCTCAGAAATTGGTGCAGGGCGGGGCCGCCCACTGCGGCACCGCAGCTGATTCGGAGAGGACCGCCGACTGCAGCTCAGGCTGCATCATGGAGAAGGCCGCCCACGACGACTCCGGTGCAGACTCCGAGGTGTCCTGAGGCGCCCACCGAGGGCCCTTGGATGCACGGATCGGCCGTAGAGGGACTCCAGAAGGTTCGGCGGAGCGGACACTGGTTGACTGACTGGAGGCATGGCAAGAGGGAGACCACGATTCAACGTGTCTATGAGTCCAATTTATATGAGGGTTGTGTCGTTCCAACCACTCATATCCCAGAACCAAAGGAGATGAGGCTGATGGGAAAACAAGAAAGGTTAAGGTCTCTCGATGACTACCTGAAACTTGAAGCTGGAGAGGCAGAGTCTTGTGGGTAACCTGGTGTAGACTCCTTCCATCAATCGCTGAGACTTTAAGAGGCTTCCTCAGAGGGGTGGTCTCAATATTTAGCTGTTGAACTAGATTAGAGTCAATAAGATTTCTCTCACAACCAGAGTCTACGAAGGCAGACAGAGTGTGAGTCTGATCAGAACAGAACAGGGTAGCAGGTAAAAGAAGACGAGAGGATTTTCTATTTGGTTGATGCTTCACCTGACTCTCCATAGTCGCAGACGAGCTCCAAATCTTATTCTTGGCTGGACAGGATGAAACAAAATGCCCTGGTATCCCACAGTAAAAGCAAAGTTTCTCCTCAAACCTTCTGTTCCTCTTGTCGGGTGTGAGCCGAGTGTGACCTATTTGCATTGGCTCCCCCTCAGTAGGTTCACAAACTGGTGGAGCAAAGTGAGTTTTAGACACAGGAATAGATTCAGGCGGGGCACGACTCTCTGTTCTGAATGCCTCTTCGGGAGAAACAAAGGAAGGGGTGTCCCTTCTCTTAGTCGTAGAAAATGAAACAGGAAAAAACATGGCTCTTAATCTTTGACTTAGACCTGGTTCGAAGACGGTTATCCAAACTAATCGTCAGCCTGACGAATTCCTCCAGGGTCTCCGGTGTCTCGAGTGTGGCGAGTTCATCCTTTACGTTCTCATTTAGCGCGTTGAAAAATGCATTCTTAAGCGCACTCTCATTCCAGCCAGAGGCTGCAGCTTTAACCCGGAAGTCTATGGAAAAATCCGCTACAGAGGAATTTCCCTGTTTAAGATTTAACAGAGCACAAGAATCAAGTGTTCGGTCTGACTCTTGATTAAACACTTGAGAAAACTCTGAAACAAAATCGGAATAGTCACAACTGAGGCTGTCTTCGGAGGGAAACCTTGCCTCCGCCCACTCTAGGGCCCGTCCGGTTAACTGGGACAGAATAAACGTAATCTTTTTTTGGTCAGTTGGGAAACTGCCAGGAGAATTCTGAGAAATGAGTCTGCACTGAAACAAAAATCCCCTAAAGTCTTTCATGTTACCCGAAAACTTTTCAGGGAGGCTAGGGCGGAATTCCGGAAGTGACGTGACAGGCTCTGGCATCGGAGGCGGATCTGGCTCTGGAACTGGAAGTTTAACAGGCTCCGTCCTAGGAATTGTTTGACTGTGAAAAACGGCTAACTCCTGGAAAAACTTATTAAGTTGAGTGTTGAGCTCACCGGTGAATCTGTCCATAAGCTGGTCCCGGACATCACGAATGGCTCTCTCAATCGTTCTAGCCAAATCATCTTGGCTAGCTCGGAGGGAGACCTCAAGGTTCTGAACCCGGGTCTGGAGATCCTTCAGAAGCCTCCAGAGGGGTTCCGCTGGGTAATCTTGTTGGCCGCAGTGTTCTGTCATGATTGGTTCTCAAGGAGGACCCCAATTATGCAGAACACCACTGAGGCGGAAACAGGAGTAAAGGGTAAACAGAGTTTATTAAGCACAACACAGAGAAAGCACTGATGACTGGTTCGGGCCTGGGTTCTGGTTTCACCGGAGTCTGCGTGAGAGACAGAGCAGTTATGGACTGCTGACAGGATTTGATTTACTAGTGAGCTCTGATTGTACCTTGAGGGTACTTGAGGTTCCCTTTGGGAGAGTCACTGTTGGTTCTGGAGAAGAGTTTATCAGCAGAGTCCGTTTGCTGCTTCAGCGTCTCACGTCTAGCTTGAACAGACCTTGGCTTTGTTTTCCCAGCTCTAGTCCAGAGCTGCTTGGAGGTTCTCAGAGAATCTTCAGGGTTTGGCTCAGAGGGTCGGCTCGGCAGGTTAGCTCTTCCTGAGCTTTCACAGAGGAGACACGGGTTTTCTGGAAACACAGAGAGAGTGGTTAGAATCCAACCTGGATTCAAAGTCATAGAGGTAACACAAAGATCTAGGCTTTAGCGCTGACCAACTGGAACAACACTGCGGCCTTGAGGCAAGGTCTGAAGACAGCTTATATAGTGGATCCTCTGATGATGGTAATGAGCAGCAGCTGTGCAGGAGGCTCTGCTCAGGAGGATCCACGGCGGACTCTGCTGGAGAAAGATGGTACTACTCCAGCTCCCAACAGTATTATTTTTAAATGTGACAAATGTGATTTGATGTGGACACAGTCAGGACACACCGATTTGGAACACCTCTCTGAAAGTATCAACAAGTGTGAACGATCAAGGGTTCAGCTGCGGCTGCATTCATTTCTTCATCCATCTTCATTTCTTTTAGCTGCAGCTGGAAGAAATGAAGATTCTGAAGAAATGAATGACTATTTTAGTTCATAATTGTTTAAGGAGGATTTGTTGGTGAGACTCGATTTGCTAAGAAGGGTAATATGCAAAATCTTGGTTGTTTATGTCAATGTGCACAAGTAAAAATTGAAGCTTCTCCAGCCTACAGTATTTGAATAATAGTGACTCCTTGAAAGGGGAGTTATTATGGTCGTTTCTGGCCTGGCTAAACATCCAGACTGTTTAGCCAGGCCAACAAAGACCCTAACGACTCCCGTTTTCAGAGGAATGGTCCAGTACTGGGTTTTGCAGGCTAAAAACGACCTCAACAACTCCCCATTACTAAGGGTAGGGCCTGTTTTTCGGCCCAATTTGCATGTTTTCTAAGCTATAAGAAGGCTTTTGCTTTGGCTACTCTATAAGCCTGCAAATCATCACTACGCCAGACATTTTGAATTGAGAAAGCCTTCTAGATCGGAAGCGAAACATTTTCAAACTTGGAAAACAAGTCCAGTGGCTTTGTTTTTTAATTTTTTGGAAATACTGCTGAAGTATTTAAATGCATCACAATCTTGTCTCAAACGCTGGTCTTTCACAATTTCAAATTGTATTCACAGATGGAAATAAGTTTAGAATATATTCAGAATAGTTTGCTTAATGTACATAGATCTAAAATAGAGAAAGACACACAAATAGTACAGACACACATCTATACCCACCACAGTCTATTTATTAATTTATAACAGACTTTTATTAACACGGCACATCTAAACAGTCATTGATGCTTCTCCTTTAATATGATTATCTTCATCTGTCAGAACCAAAGCGGGAACATGGAGAACTCTGGGCAACAGTTGATTTGTGTTGAGTTGATTTGAATAATATAGACTATCAGAACTATTTAAAATTATTATTTATTAAGGTGTTTATATAGTTGTAGGTGCAGGCCACTCAAATGAACATAAATTAGCAAAATAAAAAAATACAGATATGCAATAGAGAAACCAGGTGGGAGTCGATTCCAGAATGTCTTCAGCTGTGAGATGTGCACGTTAACCCATCCGCGAAACGGATATACATGTGGCTTGGAAACCAGGATGGATTACAGCTCGGAGCCATAGTTAGAAGAGCACACCGTGATATAACTGTTATGTATCAGAAGGGCTGTATATCATATCACAATTTCACAGGTCAGGCAGTAGTTATTTTTATTATTTATTCATATAATTATAATCAATACTATTATTATGGAAAAAAATGAGTTCAAGTGTGAAATAATGCAGACATTACCGCATTGTAGTTCTGAAAGCATCCAGCAGATGCTTCCATTCTAAACTGTTTGAAATGTTTTTAGCATGGGGTCGAGTTTTGGCCAGTTGTGTCAAATTGGTTCATTGATTCACGGGGCTTCGAAACTGCTATCACTAGTCAGACTGTCAGATCATTCCGATCAGACAGGAAGCAGGCTCAGAGGTCAAGAGGCAGAGCGGGTCGGGATCAGGTAGTCAGAACACAGGAATGATAGAATAAGTCTCACCAAAGAAATAATCTAGCACTGATGACTGGTCTGATGGCTGGTTATATAGTGACTAAGGCAGGTGGATACAATGGGCGGTTAATGAGAGCTGAGTGGAGCTAAGGAAAAAAGGATGTATAAATGTTTGTATTGCCTGTGTGTTTTAAAAAATGTAAATATGCTGAACCACGTGTCTTTATACATTTAGCTCTATTTCTAAGGTTTGCATCCCTATAAAATGTGAAAAATGTTTAGTATTTAGTTATTTATGATTGATTAAATGCACTTATACTCCATTGAGCCTGTCAGAAGGCATTGCATTAGGTGGAATGGGTGACATTTCCAAGATGGTGGCCCCACGGCTCGACAGTGCCAGTAGGTAACAGCAGTCAATGAGGCGCCTACTCTTTATATGTCTACACTGGACTTAATCTGAGTAGACTTTGAGAGATTTTATTGTCAGTTTGTAAACAGTGTATACAAAATGACAATAAAAGTTACACAAAATGATCTCTTATATACACAGTTTTTAGAACATTTCTATTTAATAAAGTGCAGCAGTGATCAAATGTAAGCAGTGTGGGAGAAAAAATATGGTGCAAAAATGCATTGCTATGGAAGTTCAGAACATTAAACATGTATGATGCAGATATGCAGAATTTTGGTCTGGTGTTATCAGTGTGATGCGGAGTCTGTGTGACATGCTTTAGAGTTTTCTCAGTTAAGCTGTCTGATGGCAGTGGGGAAGGAGCTGTTGCGGAATCTTCTGGACCTGCATCAAATGCTGCAAAGACTCTTCCTAGTGTGCAGCAGGGAGAACAGTCCATGATGGGGGTTTGAGGGGTCATTTATAATGTTACGGGCTTGGGACATGCAGTGCTGGGATGAAATGTCTTTAATAGAGGGAAGAGGAGCCCTGATGATCCTCTCTACTGTTCTCACCACTCTTCTCACTTACATCCAGTCTGAGGTGCTGCGGCCTCCACACCGTGAGTCAGCTAGTCACCATGCTCTCTATGGTACTGGTAAATCGCTGGTGAAGATTCTCAGTCATCCAGGTCATAGTCATTGCATAGTCATTCTCTAACGACCCCCCTTTCAGCGACATAGACAGGTATCGGGTATTAAAGGCTAACAAAGAACCCAAACAACCCCCATTCCAAAGGAGCGGACCAGTTTGTCCGGCTCAATTTGCATGTCCTCTAAGCCAAAACAAGGCTTTGTTTTGGTCCACTCTATAAAGCCTCAAACTCAATGCTATTTCTGACATTTTATTTTCATAAGCTTCCTGGATGGGAAGCAAAATCTCTTATTAACTTCTTTGGAATGTCATGAGGATGGGTGGGGTAAGTTGGTGGGCTCTCCTCATCCTCCGCAGGAAGATGGTATTTACAGTTCAGGTGAGGTTGTCTGTGATGTGCACCCCCATAGCTGGGCTGATGATGAGTAGTGGAGCATGATTAGGCAGGTTCTTCCTGAAGACGATGATCTCCTTTATCTTCCCCACATTCAGGATCAGGCTGTTTTCTCTGCACCAGCCCACCAGCTGCTCCACCACCTCTTGTTAGTCCTGATCGTTGTGGTCTCTGACAAGGCCCACCACTGTAGTGTAGCCTGCAAACTTTATGATGTGATTGTTGGTGAACCTGGGGACGCAGTTGTGTGTCATTAGAGTAAACGACTCTAAACAGGGCTCAGGATGCAGTCCTGAGGGGAGCCTGTGTTTAGGGTGATGACATCAGAGGTATTTTGTCCAACCCAGAGAGGTTTATTGAAGCCCAACTGTTCCAGTTTTCCTATCAGATGTTGTGGGATGATGGTGATGAAAGTTGTACTAAAGTCCATGAACAGCATCCACACATGGGTGTTCTTCTCCTCCAGGTGTGCTAGGCTCAGGTGAAGAGCAGAGGAGATGGTTTCCTCAGTGGAGCGGTTCAGTCGGTAGGGAAAATGGAACAGGTCGAATGTTGGATGGAGACTGGAGACGATGTGTTCCTTAACCAGCGTTTTCGGAACACTTTATTAGGATGTGAGTCAGTGTCAAAGGCTGGTAGTCATTGAGTGAGGGTGACCTAAGGCTGACCTGATGTGACCTGATAACTGAATACCTCAAATTGTACCAACTGAATTTGAATACCTCAAATTGTAGCTCTTAACTTCGGTTCCCAGCTCCTATCCCTGGGACTACATCTCCATTTCAAAACTCAAAAAATATGAAGGCATGTACATTAGCATGTGTCACACAAAGAAATTGTGAAGAAATAATGTTTTTTTGTGAAACGTATTGAAATGGGCTGTTCCTATACATCCTGTCAAGAAAAGGATTGTGGGCAACTGTATAGCTCAGGCTGGAAGGAAAGTCAGAAGATCCAAAGGGTAATTGAATTAGCTCTTTGAAACAGACTGCTTCCTTGACAAAGCTCCTTCCTTACTGCTATTTTAGGTTATGGTCCCAACCAAGCTAAGTTTACTGGAACAGCTGTCTTAGTAAGCAATTCAGACTCAACATAAACCAGCTTTATTACACCGATGACAATAAAATAACCTAACCTCAGGTCTTGGCCTTTTCTGCTGATGCTTTTTTATTAGGCTTTTGCCATAAAAGCTCTATTCTCTGTGTTGAAATTTTAATCATACTTTTTTAAGTTTTTGAATTTCTTTACTTTTAGCTTTGGAGTTATTCTTGTTTCTGTTTTGCAATTGGTTGTTTGGTACTGTCCTTAGTTGTGTCCATACAACTCTGTTTTCTAATTCTCCAGCCTTAGTCCCCAATTTCAGATCCTGCAATTATACATTCAACTTCATTATGGTCACCTGTACAATACCAATCATCTCTTTGTTTTAACAGTGTATGGCACTCCTTCCATATGCATCCTTCCGTTCTCCTTTCCTTCCACCTGAAAATACTCTCATATCATCTTGATGCTATACCTTTTCATGTTACCTGCACTCTGTTGATGCTTTGCCAGCAAGTAGCTTGTTTTGGACTTTTCATTATTTTATTTTTTTATGGCTCACTATTCTACTCCTGTTTGCATGTGAACAAATTGGATCCAAAATCAAATATAATAGCTTGACAACAAGAGAAGATGTGAGATCAGACTTGATTTTTTTTGTTTTGAAAATGTATATTTAAAACAAGAAGGTAAGATTAAACTTCACCAAAAGTAAACTATACACGTCACAATATCCTTGAGTTTTTAAGAAGATGAGGCTTCAGTACTCTATAATCAACAATTAAAAGTAAATGGGGAATTAATACCTCAGAATGATAGTTTTGACATCTAACACCACAATGGTAATTTATTCTTTGTAACCCCTTTTTTGTGTCTGTTTTCCTGTGCAACTGAAGATCCCCAAATTAGATTGGCTGGTTCAGGTGCATCATGCACTGGAAGACTTGAAGTGTACTATAATAACTCCTGGGGAACAGTCTGCAGTGATGTTTGGGACCTGAATGACACTCAAGTTGCATGCAGACATGTAGGCTGTGGTTCAGCAACATCTACCAAAACATCTTCTAAATTTGGTCGAGGTACCGGACTCATCTGGCCTAAAGAAGTAAAATGTTTTGGAAATGAAACTTATATAAGTGAATGTCAGCGCAATGCTTTTGAAACACACAACTGTGGACACAATATGGATGTTCATGTATTTTGTTTAGGTGAGAATAGCTATTTATCTATTTAGTATTTTACTCTTTTACTTTATTTTCTTTTTTCTTTATTTCTATATTGCAGCTGTAAGTTTTGCAAAATACTTTGTACTTAATCTTACTTGTCTGATAGGTTACCCAGTTCGATTGGCTGGGTCTTCTCGATGCTCTGGACGAGTGGAAATCTTTTACAACTATACATGGGGTACAGTATGTGATGACAGCTGAGACATGGATGATGCCCAGGTTGTCTGCAGCCAGTTGGGTTGTGGTACAGCACTTGCTGCCCCTCAAACAGCATACTTTGGACAAGGAACGGGTAAAATTTGGCTGGATGATTTGGCATGTACAGGCAGCGAAAGACATCTATCTGAATGCTCACACAGAGGATTTGGAAATCACGACTGTAATCACAATGAAGATTCTAGTGTGATCTGCTTGGGTGAGAATATCTTGTTTTTTTATTTATATAGACAGACAGAGCTGCAGCACCTGTCATTTTCTAAAATATCTTACAAAGTGCTTGCTTAGAATTTATTATACATCTGAAGATTATATGTGCAATTTATCTAACCCTGTTGCTTAAAAATGGATTTTCGGACAAAGTCTAAAGTAAAAACGTACATTTTCTTTTTCAACTTTACCAGTTTCTGGCAGATTTCTTCTCAAAAGCTGTTCATATTAACTGGAGAATTATGGTTCTTACCAATGTTGCAGGAACTTATACGAAATTTAAAGATGAAGAGGTGAAATTATTAAGTACATTAATAGGTGTTTTGCCAAGAAAAACTACTGAAAAAAGCCTTGGCACGAATAAAAAAGAGCACTGTTTTTCAAAATAAAAAAAATATTATTCTTAGATTAAAGAGTCACTTATTGCCATAAAACTGTCCTTTGTGGACTTTCTGGGTCTGTTTAAGTTTCTTTTTGCATTTTCCGTTACACTTTGATTTTTGTCATTTTGTGTTTTCTGGGTCACTGGTTTCTTTTCCATTTTGTCTCATTCTAGTTGTTTTCTAGTTATATTTAAGCAGTGTTGTATTTTTTGAGCTACTCTCTGTCGCCCCTTGTGCCAGTCATCTTTCCCCTAGTTCCCTTCAATCTAATTAGTCCATTCTTTGTTCTGTTTCCCATACTAAATAAAATGATCTGATCATGACATGTGTATTCATGTAACCAAGCATTTGATCAGATTAAATCATTTAGGCATGCGCAGTGCTGTCTTATTTTCTAGGAAGGCTTCAGTAGTAGAAGAAGAAACTGCTTGTTTTGTTAACCAACTTTTACTTGGCTTGGAGAAGGGACTCCACCGTGACACTTGTAGCGCCGTGTGTGGTTGGGGGGATTCAGAAGTACGGAGTCAGGGGCCCTTCAGTAGAGGCAGTCACTGGTCCTCCTCATAACCTTTATGGACAGGAATTCTAAATGCAGCCAAGGGCCGGAGGGGGTCTGGTTAGGGAACCAGCAGATTTTGTCCCACCGTTTTGCAGATGGCTTGTTTCTGCTGGTTCCCCTACAGCATGCAATGGGGTGGTTTGCAGCTGAGTGTGAGGCGGGCAGGATGAAAATCAGCTCCTCCAAATTTGAGGCCATGGTACTCCACCAGAAAAAGGCAATTTATCCCCTTCATGTTGGAGGAGAAATCCTGCCTCAAGAGGAGGATTTCAAGTATCCTCGGGTCCTGTTCACTCGTGAGAGGAGAATCTAGCAGGAGATCAATAGACGGTCTGCCAGGGTAAAGAAGGAACTTAGAGATAAGGAAAAGCTCTGGATTTACTGGTTGACTATGTTCCTACTCTCACCTATGGTCATGAAATATGGATCATGACTGAAAGTATGAGACCCTGAACACAAATGAAATGAAATGAGCTTCCTCTGCAGGGTGGCTGGGAACTGCCTTAGGGTGAGGAGCTCAGTCATTCAGGAGAGGCTTGTAGTAGAGACGCTTCTCCTCCACATCAACAGGAGTTAGCTGTGCTCTGGGCACTTCCCACTGGGAGGAGGCCCAGAGGACACGCTGGAGGGACTATGTTTCTCGACTGGCCTGTTAGCGCTTCAAGCTTCCCCCAGCAGAGCTGTAAAAGGGTCACTGTGGAGAGGGAAGTCTGGGAGTCTCTTCTGGGACTGTTGCCCCCGTGACCATGTCCCATATGAAGTAGAAGACTAATACAAGTGTGAGGTTTCGATACACATCCCCAAATTACCTGGTTGAATTTTTACTCATTTTGGAGATCTAGATCTTCTTTTCTTGGGACCCATGAAAAAATACTAATCCGTTAGCTCATCCCCACAATCTAATAACCTGTCTGAAGATACACAGTGGCTTGAGCTCTGATCCTTGAAACTCATTCAGGAAGAGAATAACTTCAATCACAGATCCATGTTATTTATAATGAAATATGCTAGGCTGTTTTAGTACAGTAATGCATGAAAATATCCATTTAAAATGTGTTTTAATAACTTATATAGCACACTCATTTAGAATATTCTATTCCTAGGTGGCAGCATCAGGTTAGGTGGGCCAGCTCGGTGCTCTGGAAGAGTTGAAATCTACAACAATGGGACCTGGGGAACAGTGTGCAATGATAACTGGGACATGAATGATGCTAGAGTTGTCTGCAGACAGCTGGGCTGTGGAACAGCAGTGAGTCTCCGTCAGTTTGCACAAACAACAGGACAAAATCGGCTTGGCGAGGTGTCTTGTATAGGCAGGGAAAGATATCTCAGTGAGTGCTCCCACAGTGGATTTGGGACACATAATTGTGTTCATAGCCAGGATGCTGGAGTCGTTTGTTCTGGTAAGAAAGACTTTCTATATTTAAATTTTTGTTCATTCAATTTTATTTACCAAGAGAGTGGTAAAATCCTTAATGTAATATTACACCAGAATAATCAAAAATTTAACAAATATAATTTCCGCATAAAATGCGCTTTAAATTAGTTATGTGTCATGCCAACCCTTAGCTGACGAGATTAAACCCTTTGATTTGACAAGGTTAAATAAGATCATCTTATTTTATTACATCGACTATATAAGCAAGCAATGCAGTGTTAATGTTCATGGTGTAAAAAAATAACCTTTCAGTTAAGCAGGTAAGTAAATTGCACCATAGTGATAGGAATAATTTTGTACCATCATCATATTTTTCATAATTACTGATAGATTGTGTTGTTATACCTCCAAAATTAACTTGGCCCAGACAAGGTTCTATGTTCTACTGTGTTTTAACAGATCAAATTCAGCCCAGAGTCACCATGAAGCCTCCTGGTGATATAACATGGGGTCACAGTGTCAGCATTGGATGTTCAGTCACTGACACACAAGTAGAAGGGACTTTCATCTTTACAAGGTCACCTGGTTCGTTCAGTAAGAGTGTAGAGACTAGCAACAGCTCAGCAACTTTCTACATCTCCCAGGTCAGTTTTGAGGATATGGGGTTTTACCAGTGTCAATTTAAAGTAAGAGTTTTGAATGAGGACTACAGCAGCATCCTGAGTGACTCTGTCAGGCTAAATGGTAATTTTTAAAATTATATATAATATATTAACCAAAATTATCAGAAAAATAATATATATATATATTTTACATTTTCAGTTATTCTTCCAAAACCAACCCTAACTATGGATCCCACTGGCTCAGTTCCCTGGGGTGACCTTGTTGCCATGACTTGTTCCATCGCAATACAACATTCAGAAGGATGGTTCACTCTGGAGAAAACCTCTGGCTCATTCACTAAGACGCACGCATCAAGTACCAACTCTTCTACCTTCAGATTTCTTGAAGCCAGCGATAGAAACGAGGGAGATTACCAGTGCTATTACAGTACAACAGTGAATTATCAAACTATAATGTCTCCTTTTAGTCCAGTTGTTACAATTTCTATTACAGATATTTAAAGTAAAATCCCCAAGAGATATGAAGATCTTACACACACACACGTACTAGTCAATAGTTCAGAGTTTCTACTCCAGTCATCTTCTTGGCTAGTTCCCCCTTTTCACCAGCCCTCAATTTAACTCTAGACTTGAAATCAGGTTTATACATGTGAATACTGTCATATACATCTTTTGGACGAAACCCATGAACATCTTTCTTTAAATTACACTTGGGTTCTTCACATGGGTAACTTTACATGGAAGCTAACAAAGTTGAGAAATTTTGTTGTGCTTTAAGACAAATGTCAATAATAAAGCAATGAAAAATGTGTGATGGTGTTTGTAAGGTCTATGTAACATTTTATTGGTGGACTTAATTTTCAGCAAATTGATAATTATAGTGAAGTAATGCATATGTACATTTTTAATTATAACTTACTCTTTTTCCACCTTGTATTGTCTCTTGACATTGTGGTATAGCTACAGTTTTATACCTTGTTTCTTTTAGAAATTGCTAAGGTTTTTTCCTTTGTTTCAGCTTTTGTATCTTGCTTGTTATTGCTGATTTGTGAATACTCACATATGTATGCAATTTTCATTGTTACCAGATAAATCAATAATTTTTTTTGTACTGTGAAGAACCCAATTACTGACAGAAGGTAACTCATTGTAAAGAGTTCAGTTCTTTTGTTTTATATTGATGTAATCACAAAAAAGCCACAAACAGACTTCTTTGTGTGAAATGAAATGTAAAAAAGATTTCTCCAGTTGTTATTTAGTATAATTTTACATAATATCATACACATGGACCACACTGCCGGTAGGGCCTTATCTAAGTGGACATAATCAAATCTGAGGTTTTGCCTATTTTCTAAACTGACAATGGTGCATGGCTGAAGCATTTTCCTCTAATAAAAAAGTGAGTAGTTGTTCTACCTAAAGATGTATTGACTGATTGAAAACAAAATTGACAAAAATACTAGCCAGCTGGCGCTACTCATGATCTGCTTCGCTAGCTTTTTTCCCCATAAATTTTTATCAGCAATAGAATGCAGCGCTGGAAGTATCACTGCTGCTTCAGCTGCCCCAACATGTAGCCTTACTAAACACTTTGGAAACTAGAGTTATGTACTGCTTATTTTTGGTATTGATCCGTCCATCTGTCCGTTCATTCAACTTCTCCTGTTTAATCTGTCAGGGTCAGGATGTTAACCAATTGTGCTGAAGAGAGATGTTAGAAACATCCACTTATTAGCATACCGAGACAAATTTGCATAAATAAATGTGGAAATGTAGAAATACAGAAGTAAAAGTGGAAATAGATAAATAAAAGTTGAAATAAATTAATGTAGAAAAAAATAAATAATTAAAAATAGAAATAAAAAAAATAAATAGATACACAAATAAATACATAGAGAAATACTTAAAAAAAACCCAAGGGATTTGCCCTTTTCATGAACAAAACAACTTATGTATGCTTTTGTATATGTTAAAATATATTTATTCATTCATTAGTTATATATGTATTTATTTGGATGTTTTATTTGGGTAAGAGCTTAAAGGTCCCATATTGAGCTAAATTAAATTTAAAAACATTTTGTAACAGTCATATGTGTCCTGAAGCCTATGTATGAAACACACAAATGAAAAAAAAAAAAACTTTACTCACTGCCTTTCTCGACATCTTAGCTAATGTCTACTGAAATGCTCTTTTGAAAATCATGCCCTTTATGATGTGAGGGGAAATTAGCTGTCTGTAACCCATGGGTCAAGCTCCAGCCTTCATTTTATGTATCATTCCAGACTTCTAGGGATATGTTTAGGGGTAAGGTGAGGTATGCACTGGAAATAGGTAGGGGTTCGGCTTAGGTTAGTGTTACTCGATGGTCTTCTCCTGCCACCTGATGGCTTCCACAGATGATGAGTTCCACAGAGTTGGATCAGTTGATTAAAGAAGAACGCTCACTCAAATCAAGATCAACAACTGTCTTGAGCAACTTGAATCCATCTTGTAAGAAGTTGCTTACAAATGCTCACAGAGCCTCTTGGTAACATTCTTTTTCTGAAGGTGCTGATTAAATGTAAGGTCAAGACTGCTCTGTGATTGTTATGTGCTGCGTTTATTAGGGTCAGGGGGTGTACTGGGTGTTCTGGGGCCTTTAGTTTATCATCTAGGAGTCTGGTTGTTGGTTAAATCTAGAAATGTCCAAGTGTTTATTGGTAGAGTTAGGGTTTTTCAATGGTGTGAGAATATTGGTTAGGGTTAGAGCTATATGTGAGGATACGTATGGTATTCTGTGCCCTTAGGTTTAGTTAAAGTGGTCAGGGTAGGTACCGAATGATAAGAGCAGTTTTAAAGTGAGTTTTAAGAGGTTTAGGGCCCTGTGCAGGGTGAAAGTAATGTGCCCTGTAACATTAGGGTAAGTTAAAAGGGTCAGGTTAGAGGGTATATAACCTGAGTTTAAAAATAAGGATTAAGGGGTATAGGGTTTAGGATTATGCTTAGGCTAGGGTGGAAAAAAGGTAAGTTATAACGGCTAACAGCTGGTTTATAATAGTAGGATTATTGGGTAGTGTACGGCAGGGTTAGGGGTGATTTTAGAGTCAGTAAAAAAAAGAACATGGCAAGGTAATCTCTGTTCAGGCTAGAGTATTGTGTGGTGGCTAAAAGGGAAAGGTTATTGCGGGTCGGCTATGATAGGGGATTGTTGGGTTACTGCCTGGGATCAAACCCCCATCAGTGGGTTCAAAGGGATGATCACCTTGAGCTTACCTAACTGTGGTGTAGCACATGTTGAGGTAACAAGTGTGGCTGTGTTTGGTGCATAATGTGAAAAAACATATAAATATCAAAATATAAAGTTAAAAATAGAAAAAAAAGTGGGCAAAGAATAAAAAAAATGAAAAATTTAAATTTATTGAAAGCAGGTGAATGGTCTATAAGGATAAAAAATATAGGTTTCTGCGGGGAAAAAGGGAAAGGTTAGAAATAAACCCAAAATAAAATGAAAAAAATGGGTTGGTGTTGGGTGTGGATTTGTGTATGTGGGTGTGTGTGTGTGTGTTGGGTGGTGGTATTATTGAGAGAATTGCCTGATTGGCCCAGTAAATATTGAATGTGTTTGGTTATCCATAATCATATAGTATCACAACAGCCGAATGCTACCCAAATGTGATCTTTTTTGCCTAAATTCAAAATATATCTGACTTTTTCACAACACTATGATTTGAGTTGCTTTTTGCAACGGAGTATTATGGCCAGGCTAGAGATTTTTCTTTTTTTAAATACCAGAATAAAGTCATAACATTATGAGAACAAAGTCGCAATGTTAGGAGAATGTAATCGTAACATTGCAAGAATAAAGTTGTAGATTTATGATAATAAATTCATAAAATTACTTGAATAAAGTTGAAAAATTATACCCCATACCACAACCCAGTTCAGAAAGAAAGCCTTGGGCTTTGACCAGCATATGACGGCCGAGCAGCTCCACCAAACAGCAACCCGAATCCACTTTGACATCCTGCCCAATCTGATGCTGGTTTGCTAAATGTTTTCCTTATTTGTCAAACAGATATCAAAGCATAACTTCGCATGATGCTTGACATTTCTCATTTTAGGGAAGAAAGTGCTTCTTATAAGAGTTGTCATAAAAAGCAACTTTATTTTCATAATGTTGTGACTTTACTCTTGTAATTTTACAACTTTATTCTGGCATAAAAACAAAATTCTCTAGCCTGGCCCTGATACTCCGTAGTAGCTTTTATATGTGGTACTATATCAGTTAATATCTACAGTAAGATTGACTGCTCCACTAAATGTAGTTGGTAATAGTTGTGCAGTTTTTCTTTCCTTCCTTTATCTTTTTTAAAACGTAGTCATGATATTATTTTGTAGCAAATGTATCACTTTTGGTCTTTTTTTTCTTCGTTTGCAGCATTTCTTTTGCAAACGCACAAGCCTTCAGCTCCTGTCTTCTTGCAAATAGACACTTTGCTGCTCTCTTTTTAAGCCAGAGAAACTAAACAGAGTCCAGCACTATCTGCCAAGGGTATGCATAATTTTTAGCTTGTCAGTCAGATTAAGCTCAACTTGTTAAATATCTACATTATGTTTGGTGTTTGATTCAAGAAAGCTAGTTCACATGTAGTGAAAAGCAACTGAGGAGTTAAGCGGCCTCTTACGAAAACACATACAGAAACACACTCACTGACACACAGTCTTATTGCTCCTCCTAACGTAAGACCATTTCCTGTTACAGGAAAAAATAACTGCTGCCAAGTTTCCCCTGTGAGCCAGTGCAGCTGCAGTCGTCTTAATTACAGTCTTTTTCTGCTGCTGCTTTTTGTGCTTCTCAGGACATTAAGGTAAAGTATTTTACACTATTTCTGATTATTTTTATTATTAAAAAAATTTAATCACAGAACTGTGTTAATGTTTTGGGTGAAAAAAGGTATTTTAGCTAATATAGTAAGTTACTGTTAATATACCAAGACTACATATTAAAGCTAAGGCTGCTTTCTACAATTAAGGTTATGCTAAATGATTAATCCCACAAGCAAAAACACGAGACTGGCAAAGACAGGAAAAAATGTTATACTTTCACTTTTAAAGAGATTCTTTGAACCCTCTAACCTTAAGCTTAAGTCAACCTATTAAAAAAAATATTGTACTAACAGTAACAGCAAGCAAATTTTTTTTGTATTAAATTGTATTTCTCCTTATTTTTTATACTTGACAGAATCACTGTGGTAAATAAATCATGGAAAAACCATGCTCTGCCCTCACAAACTGTACTGAAACAAAGGAAGGGATCTACAGATATGATGAACAAAACTGTTTTCCTGAAAAAGACAGAAGTGAAGAAAGGTTTACAAATTCAAAGCGACCTTGTTTAGAGGATATCAGAGAAGGAAAGGTAACATTGACCAATGAGACTATCAGTGTAACAAATGAGCATATTCCTACTGGAGATCATAATTCAGGGTAAGCTTTATTTTTTTTTTTCCTACTATTCAAGTGTCTGCTATGAATTTGAATCATCATACATGTAGGTTTAATTACAGAACTAGAGTTATCCTAGAAAATGAATAACAGATGTTAAATAATTTGGTTTAAGTTAAAAAAAATTCACATGTTGCAGTATTTCTATATAATTTGTTGTACAGTAATGAATAGTTCTAATACAAATAAAACAGAGAATAATTTAATTTGATTTATTATGTGGTGCATTTCACAACAAATACTATCCTAAGGCAGTTTACACAACAAAAAGGATATATATTTTATACATGGAAATATGTAATTAACTCACTGAAAGAAAATGTCCTGGTCAAATGAATACATTCTAATTCTGTCCTAGT